TAACCAAAATGAAACAAATTACAATTGATTTTGTGTAAATTATTTAATTTTATAATATAATATCTTAATTTATATAATTATATTGTCGTGTCATGTTATAATGTTTTGAAATTAAATTCATGTGATTGAAATAATAAAGATTTGTTGGTTTTCACAACTTATGTAGATATTACTTTTCAACGCAAGTAAATTAAACTTATATTGGAAAACTATTAAACTATCAATTATTATATTTCGATTTGAATACATATGCTTTATAAAAAGCTATAAATATATAATATTGCAATATTCTATTTTCGTTTATTGACCACCAAAAAGAAAATTGTTAAAGTAAAAAACGAGAAGTAAGTACTGGCATGCATACAAAATCAAATTATGGAAATCAAAAATTATTTATCATATGAATATTTTTATTTATTTACGATTTCATCAAAAAGATAAATTTTAATCAGTTCTATTGCATGAACCAATGGTAATAAATCATAATTATTGCTCAGAATGTAATTATTTTAGGCTGGGTAAAATGTTATATGTAGCAATTCAATGTGATCGTTTCTTAGTAACTCATCTGACATGTTTCATTTAGTGAAAGTATAATACTATATGAGTGTATCCATCTGGGCGTATTCCAGTTGGGTCCCAGAAAATATTTATGAAAAAGATAAACAACTAATTGGGTTCAATTAAAAAAAACAATAACATAGGAGTTCGGTCCGTCTATAAAATTTATAATATACAAGTTCGGTTCGACCACTATGACAATAAAACCTGTAACTTGCAAGTGTTGATACGCTTGATAATAATAAAAAATGAATAGATAAAAGTTCTATCATTTAAATTTTTACCAATTGTGTGCAACTTTTTTAATTTTTTAATAATTTTATTTATTTATTTACTATATACCATTGTTCTAATTTTCAATTAATAATTATATACCATGTATAAGAAACTTTAAAAAAAAAAAAATTATATATATTTATATTTTTATTCTAATTTAAAATACAGTCCTAGGTTTGTAAAAATGAGAAGCAAAAATTTTTTTTATACGGACCCATTTAGAGTAGTACTTGTAAAATCATGGGATCCAACTAGTGTACTACCTAAAAAATATTGTGACCTAACTGGTGTACTACTTGAAAAATACTAGGACCCAATTAGACTAAATAAGGATCTTCGGGATCCAACTAGTAAACGCTGACATATCTAAGCAAAATATACAGGTTCGTTTGAACTGTAAAAATGTTTAATTACGTGTTATTTTATTTTTTATCATAATATTTTAAAATAATAAACAAATATTTGTTGTCACTTAATATAATTTAATTTTTCCGAGTTTCTCGTTGCATTATAAAATGTTAAATACTTTGTATGCATACTGTTTCTATAACGAAGAATGATTTCATTGATTGATATTTGACAATTTATCGGTAGTTAACTCGAGTTAAAAATATATTTCCTTGATAAATGTGAGTACCCATATATTATTATTATTATTCTCATTCGTCCAATGTTTGCAAATTTATTTATTATTACAAACAGATACTTTTTTTTATACATTATTATTTTGTTTAAAAATAAATTACCGTAACAAATTACATAAAATACCTCGATAAATGTATAAAAATTATTTTAAAACTTTAAATATATGAGTATATGAGTATTCTCACTTTACACAAGTCGATATATTAATGTCTAAGTATTAAACCAATTAAATTAAGCATTATAGTTACTAAAATAATAATGACGATGCTCAAAGGCCATATTCAATGACCATAATATTATGGTTATTACGACCGTTGTTGATGGTGAATTATTAATTGTGAAATGTTGCAGTAGTTGAATAAATATATATTTGTTGTTACATTATTCGAGGTGCTCACAAAATAAAACCATGAAAATGAAACAAGCAAGATACCCATTGAATTATATATAATGTTACGTGGTACCCAATAAAAACAGGTACCTATCGTAATGATGTTGTTGAATCGGGATAAATTTGATTAAACAATTATTTCAAACACTTGTAAATACTTTAATAAACACAGACATAGATACAAAAATATAAATTATAAATTCGTGCACTAACAATATCGAGACGCAACTCGGAAGGGCTTAGTCTGATAGCTGGACACGTCTGTCGTTGGTGTTGAAACGGAGCCTTTATATACTCTGCTGATTCTGTTTTAATCGTGTTGTTTTCGACACGTGGCTGTCCTTGGTCTTGGTCTTCATATCCAAGTGTTGTTTCATCACTTGGTTGCCCTTGGCCTCGAATGATGATGTTGTTGTGGTTGTTTGAAATTCGCGCGTGGCGCCCATTAAAGGTTTTGCAATAGTACGTTTTTTCCTTATACGACTCAGGAATATGCGTACTATTATTTCTCAATAATATGTGCATATTACAATAAATATAATAACAGCAGCTACATGCGTATTCAATGCAGTTGTCACTTAGACGAAGTTTAAAATTATTCACAAAACCAACATATACTAAACACATTATGTCAAATGTGTTATTATATTATAATTCGTGTATAGATGGAACAATGCAAATAAACTAATGAACAGAATTTTAATAATGGTATGTTATATAACGGATATGTATTTGGTCCGATACTATCAGCTAATAGATAATAGACTTGTAAAGATTCAAGAATACGATGAACCAGTGGTGAGAATAATTGTATTGCTTTATCGTCATGATATTGACCGAGAAGTGTTATTCAACAATGAATAGATAAATAATTTATTGAAAATTATTAAATATTTCTTATGATATCGATAAGATTTCTGGTTTGGTAAAAATATTTTTTGACTAGTATTACTGGCGATTTACATATTTTATTATATTTAATCCTATGTGATTTTATTCATTTTACATTTCACAACTTGTGGGTAATAATCGCCTTGACTAAAGTTTCTTTTCTATTATCTAATTATCACAGTCGAATTGTATGCCCCCTAAAAATCATGTACACCTGTATAGGACAATATTGGCGTATTTAATTTTAGTTAAAAATATATTTATGCAAAAATCATCTTAAAAGATTATTTTATATATTTAGCAGTACCTGCTGTCATGTATACTATTTTTTACTATAAAACTATATACTAACTACTATAATATAATATATTCATTCAAACTGTACCTATTATAATTGCTATTTTTTTGGCTAGTACATGCTTTTACTAATAAAATTTAAAAAAACGTTGTTAAATATGGTATCCAAATATAATTTCGTTTATTTAAAAAAAATATTTTTTTATTTTTTATTTTCAATTGTATAACAGATTTACCGGTTATTTGGTGACTAATTAAAATAACAACATACTTAAGATTTTGTATATAGTTATATTTCAAAAACAAATAACAATAGGAAATATATACATTTTTTAAATAAGAATTCACCATGGGCGGCGAACACAAATCTAGTCCAGCCTGCGCATGTTATACAACAAATTTAATACTAATTAATTGCAAGTGGTGGAGTATTTAATTGTTCCAAGTCTTATCTTGGTATCTGACCATGTGCGACGCGGTGCGTTCTCATTCGAAAAATAGTATGGGTTTTTTTTAAAATAAACCATATAAGAAAATATAAATTTAAAATAATTAGGACAGCTTTGTAATAAGTTTTATAATTAATAAGCTAAAGGAGTATGTAGTAAATCGATATTTATTTAAATAATTTGAACAAAACTCGAAAATAATTGTATACATTAATAATCTACTGCATATTTAGTATATAGTGTAAAAAACTTACCGTTTTAACTTGAATCCGTAGAAACTTAGAGACCTGTCGTGCGTCGAACTTTCTTGTAGGAGTGTTGCAAAATATGATTAATAAACGACTGACAAAAGGGTAATGGTGACCATCATCCATTAACTCATAATACGTTTTGTAAAAGACAAAATTCATAAGAATTTTTATTTCACACCATGCGTGTTGTCTCTTGCTTTATTTTACCTTTGTGTTAGCGACTCGCGCGTGTTCAGTTTTCGTTGAATTACATTTTGACAGTTACGACTTACTATATTTTATAGTGATTTGATATATTGCTGTAGTATTCAATTATCTGAGCTATAAAATATAGTTGATTAAAATATATAAAAAAATAAACTCTAAAATATAGTTATATTCACTATTGAAACCAACTATTTTTATATAGTCTTAGTAACTATACTGGTTTAGTCATTCCACATATAAAATAGTGTTTCTTACTACATTTTCCGTGACTATAAAATTTCAGTAATTTTTTTTCCGTGTATCCATAGACCATAACTACGTCATGTTATAAAACATACGATGCTTTAATTATTGCACCTTTTTGATTTATGTTTTTATCTCCTCAAATGCACATGTTTACTAAATAGTTGATATATCTTAGTTTATGTAGACCATAAATCGAAGTTTTTTAAATTAACACCACCCCAAATATTTCCACTTCCGTTCTCCATCCATCAATAAGTATTAAAATTATAATATTTGGATAATATAAATTTATTTATTCATAAGTTAACTTACCTATTATTTTAATTTGTTATTTTATAGTTATCATCACCGTTATATTTTTACTATAAATTTATTCTGAAGTGACCGTGCTTAAATTATTTAAATTATTTTATGAAGTATAAATTTCTTATATTATGACTACAATAATTGCTAATTTTGGAAGTGATAAATAAAGTGTATTTATTTTGCAAATTATTTATCTAAATTTGTGCGATTAAGTCCTTTCATTAACATAATACTCAACAACTAAATCATAGCAGTGTACATAATTTGAGTATTTTCTTTAAATATTACAAAACGTGTTGCCTTGTAACGGCTCGTACTCTTATAACGTGGCCAGATGAGTGGAGCGCTATGTGACGGACCATAATCGGGTCGCCAACCTATGACCAAGGCATTTGCCGAAGCCTATAGGATTTTTTTTTAATCATAACAAATTGAAAATAAGGAGATGTCACCAAACAGAAAAAAATATACAACCAGAGAAATAAAATAAATTTGTATATTATCTTGGTGCCGAGAAAGCTCATTCGGGCGTAAAATTTGGACAAAAATAAATTAAAATCAAAATACATTTACCGAGAATTAATACTCATAATAATAATGATGATAATTGTTTCGTAAGGAGCCGTAATCAAAAACGGACTCACATTTTTCAGTTATGTCATCATAAATAATAATAATTCATAATTATAAAATAATTTAGCATGTTAAATTATTTTATAATTATGTGCACATACAGACAACTACACATTAAAAAGGGGAATACCGGCCAAAGTATAAATAATAATAAGAATAATACAAAATATATTCATATTACCCTACGCCCGTGTTCCTAAGGCGTGATCCCGGAGACACATCGGAAAAATCTTCTTCTCAGCCGCCCATGTTATTTTTGCAACGGAAAAAGGAAGACAAAAACGTATACACACAGGTATATACACAGATATATATCATGGTGTCTTTTGCCTTGACCACTCTATTTTTATTTTGATAAACCGCTACCTTCGTACAGTGGACATAATTATAAAAATTGCGTGCAGTCCCGGTCAATTACACAAAAACAGGTATAGAGATGGCAAAACGACGAGTCGACCGGAATACATCATAATACGCTCGAAGCTGTCTTGATTGTGAACTCTCGGGACGGATGGATTTCGTCTCCTAATGAATATTGTCCGTGGTGTTTATAAAAACTTTTGTGGCTAACTGATTTCTTACCTTCCAGCCTTTGGCTTTATATTGAACAATATTATTGAAATTAATGATTATAGTTTTTGAACGAAAACACAAACGAAAATTTTAGATTTCGATATCAAAAGTGCAAAACGAGGAGTAAAATGTTTCGAAGTAAGGAAATTCGCTGGAACATTATTACGCACGCTGAATCATAAAGTTAAAGTGCGTTACAATAAATGTATGTACAGTTGCGCGGAACAGTAAACGAATTCCGTTCATATTCTAACACATCGGAACAATAACGACGCGAACGTTTTTATTCTGCGGCACAATAATAAATGATATGTGCGTGGAATCTTGAGTACACTTTTAGACCACCAGGGACTATACCAACTGTTTTGAAATGATCTGAAACGTGACGAGACTGTTATTGTTACTGCAAATCCTGCGTCACTCGTCCTCGACGTACGGTTGTATGTTATTGTATTGATGAACTTTGTAGTAATTTTTCAACATATTTTTTTATAAGCTCTTTACATAAAAATTTGACTGATCTGATTTCAAAAATAGTTTCTTATTTCATATCCCTACTCGTATTGCTTAGAATAAAAATAAATTTCATCTTATTACAAAAATAACTAATTATTCAAACACACCAATAGAAATCCCTTTTGAAATTGTAAGAAAATTTATATAATTATTTTTAGTTTTTGTCCATATAAAATATATTTGATTAAGTAATTGAATCAAATTTGATGCCGTTATTTGTTGATAAATGTTTGTTATCGAAGCCTTGAAAAAACCTCTTTGTAAATATAAATCAAATTGCAAAAAACCATCCTCCTAAAAATATTTTTATGGTGTACGTACCTAGAGTTATAGATGTATTATTAGTGGAGCAATAGTATAATTGATGGTATAGTAACCTATATGTTTACCAATGATATAAATTATCAATTTGACCTTAGGATGGCATAAAATCATAATGCTTTGTAAATATTACCCAAGTGACAATTGGTGCTCGGTATTGTAATTATGTACGCTGTTATAAATACTGAGTCGGCCAAATAGCAATAGTACACAAATATATGGTCATAAATTCTGAAACGTGGACCGATAGCGTACACGGTGAAATTCGGTACGTTCTGCGGTCGAATAATCGAAAACACCGCGGTGGCGGAAATTGATCAATAATAATATTAATTAATTAACAGTTATTGTTGATTCCTACTGTGAGCTTGAATCACCTCATTGACATGTTGTTGCATTTCACGCGTACACTACATTTTTTATTTAGTTCCTCAATTCGTGGCGTTTGCAATACGAAACAGTGTTCGGATAGTTATTATTCCCGTTGTGTTCCGGAAGTGTAAATTAATGAGATTCAAAATGGATAAAAAAACGAAAGAATTTCATCAGGGTGGATATGTAATGTAGTAAAAACGAATTGCAATTGAAGTAAATTCAATGAATGTGTGATAGGTAAATAGATAACCAGCTATTGTGCGAACAATTATAAGTAATAATAATAATAATAATAATAATAATAATAACTATAGGTCGTTGGCGAGTGTGTATCTTTTATGTATTGTATAGGAGTTATTATTTGAAGCTCGACCCGTAACTGTTCAAACAACCTTATTGAGTTCATTTGTGGTACAACCAAGACCAGTGGTAGTTCATTCAGTTTCCGTTTCTCTAAACGGCTCCCGTTTTACAAAAAGGTCAATTTCCAAAAAGTTCTCGTCAAAATAAGGTCTAACAATCAGGTAAATTTCTAAACGACCCCGGTTTTTACACTATAAATTCCTTCCCACATTATACAGACTTACTACTGTCTCAAAAAAGGTATGGTTAAAAATATCTTGGTGTACACTAAGTAAATTATTAAAATTATATAAAAAAAAGCTTATGTGTATAATATTAAACTTTAAAGTTTTAACGTTGAAAAAATGTAATTAATGTTTGTATAAATGACAATATAAAAAAATTAAAATCATATATCAGGTAAATTTGTTTGATATAATTTTTTACATAGTCCACGCGTGTTATTTTATTTGATGAAAACTCGTAAATGATTTTTTTCGACGAGCTTTTGTTTTTTTTTTTCGATCTCGGTATAGTAAAATTATTTCAAGCCTTAACTTGCATTTCAGATTGTATATAAATTAGTATTGTTAGTATGTCAATAACTTAAAAAATATTTGGATGAGTTTTATTGAATTTAATTTATTGAAGTTTTATTGAATATTTGTTGAATTAACTGTGGAACGTTTCACATCCATTTGTGGTCAAAAAAAAGAGAAGATGAACACTCAGCCCATATTTCAGGAGGGAAATATAATATAATATAATTATATATATATTATATATAATATAATTATATAATCTGACATTATATAATTTTCAAAAATGTAGTCGAAAACTTTATCGTATTTTGGTTTGATAGCCATTAAATCATCTGTGAAACAATCCAAGACTTCTGACGATTAAGTAAGGAAGGCCAAATAAATTTTTTAGGCGCTCTTCTGATTCTAGAATCATTGTCCCTGAATTCTGAAGCATGAGTGAATAGCTTCTTTAAATCAACTTCTGGATTTAAGTGATTACACAACGCAATAAACTTTTCTGTAGATTACTGAGGTTTTGTCTGGTAAAAAACATTAAAAAAAAAGAAGATAATGTCCGTTATGTAAAACATGAGTGGTGAACATCTGATAACACATTTTTGGACAATACTCGAACGTGCCTTCAACATAAATACACCAATTTTCCTTGATGATATTCAAGTTGGTATTACATGTAATAATAACAATATTTGATGCTTTACCATTAAGAAATAAAAAAATATCACCCGCCAAAATTTTAATATCAATTTTGTCAAAACTATCTTAAACTTCTTCTGTCGATATTAGGTAATTTTGGTAGGGATTTTTAACGAATTTATGAATAGCGTTGATATTTTGTGTTGTTAACACTTTTAAATCTTTCGGTTCAAGTTGACTTCGGTGAAGTTTCGCTGGCTTTCCGTGCAAATTTTCTTGAGCTTTACGCTTTAAACTATTACTTATCTTTCTCCTTCTTATGAAATTGTTATTTAAATGTGAGTGGTTGTATTCTAACATTTTTAGCGCTCTATATCACTAGCGAATTTTTTAGGAAAGTTAGTATAAGCAAAATTGTTATCGACAAATCATCGACATTATATTATCAATATTTTCAATTAACTATAGTTCAATTTTTTGGTTTTTTTGATATTATCAATATATCCTATATTTTCAGTTTTTGTTTTATAAATTTAAAATTTAAAAATATGATACATAGGAACTGTAAATACTAAATAACAACAGCATTACAAGGAGGGTAATAACATCGTGCAGTTATTATGTAGGCTGTTTTGGAAGACAGGCATTCATATGTCCAATAATTATAGTAGAGTTTATAATTATACAATTATAACTGTTTGTATATTTTTTTTTTTTGACGAAAGCAGTTTGGAAATTTACCTGTTCCTAAAACCTTTTTTGCGGGAGCCGTTTGGAAATTAGCAAACAATAGACAAGAGCCATTTGGGATCCGACGCCAAGACCGACGAGTTAAAAAAAACATTTAACTCATTACTATTTACTTTAGTGTGGTAACTTAGTATCATCCGAAAACGGTATAAAGTGTTATTAAATTAATATGAGTTGTGTACAGTTATTTTTAGCAGCGGTTGGCGGAAGTTGATCAAATTCGGTTGAATACACATCATAACCCTACAAACAAGATTTCGTTTGTTCGTGATCTTGTCATGGTTTTGTTTCACGAGCAATAAAAAAACCTCGTTTATTAGTTATGACAGTTGAAGATTTAAAATGCGTTATGGTCATTAAATAATATTATTACAATTCAATAAGTAATCTACCGAAAAAAATGCCACCGACCGAGTAAATATACAGACAAATTTTTGCTCTTTTTAACTTCGTATAATTATTACTAATTCATATATATATATATATATATATATCAATTGACCCGTCATCCGTTCGAAGTGTAATTTTACAATGATGCGCGTGTAATTGACAGGAAAATTTAATCCTGGTATTGCATCCTTTTTAACGATAAATTTAATAATATTAGAATGAGATAAAAAAATAAAATCACAATAATGACCGATTTACTTCTTCTGTTTTCGTCTTGGCTGCGTGTGGAACACAAATATTAAGTGTTTCGACTTTATTGACACTCTAAATATCTATTCTAAAATAACTGTACAGGGTTCAGTGAAAAATGTGTTGGATCAAAATCTACTAAAATACTTTATTTCAAACGGAAATGAAATAAATAATTCAATAAATTAAATAGAAAAAATGTGGTGAATGGCGATAGTTTTTTTTTCGGTATTATTATAGTTATTAAATGAAATCTCATTATCTTGGTAGTTAAAAGTTTTTACTTGAACATGTGTTTATTTAACGATTACACACAATAATATAATTACGTATGCTGAAATAAAAATAAATAATACATATTTTATGAGACCATGTAAGTTCGAAGTAGATATTTGTGTTGCATTGTGTGCGTGTACACCGATTATTATTAAATTGATATTATTTTAGATGAAATATAATTTATCATGTTTATATATTCTCAGTCCTTCGATCGATTCAGTAAATTTTGTGTTCATCACGTATAAATCAAATTTTAAAAGTGAATTGAACAGAACTAGAACTGTTTATATTTATTTTTTATGTGTAATTTTCCATGTATGTATGTTGTTTAAAAATGTATGGAATGATATAAAATGTTTCGTATTGTTTCATTTTATTAAAAGCAAAGCTACCAACCTGACAGTTATAAGCGACTTTTATAAGATTAATATAATTAAATTACATATATTTTTATTTAACATCAACTATTTTTGACATATTGTAAATTGTATATAAAAATAACATTAGTTTTTTTGCTTTCTTTTTCGTATTATTATTTTGTTTTATTTAATGACACTTAACATTTTATTGTACATAAATAGTATTTATATTACTGTTTAGTATGTTTATATTCACATAGAAAAAAAATAATATAATTACAACTAAAACTCGGCATTGACATAATATGTTAACATAATATATTATACCTGTATACATGTGTGTGTGTGTAACCCTAAATTGTCAATTTCATGAAATCGGTTATTCTCGAACTTTGCGTAATGTATTCATAAATTAATACGTTGAGTCTTATCTGTATGTAACGATAATTATTTAAAATTATTTTGCCAACACAATTCAATTGGACTGCAGCCCACGACTTGTCAACTTTTAATCGAAACTACCAAGTT